CTTTCCATTCAGATGGCATCGTTTCGCACGGAAAAAACGAACAAACAGCTTGTATTTGATAGGACAATAGCAACTAAATATCTTGTCGTTTTCAGTTTTAACAACCGATGAATTTGCACTATTAACAGCGGTTTTGGTTACGGCCTTACCAGTACCTGGCATGTTTTTCAAGTGTTATACGTGGTCTCTTGTTCCACAAACTGAACCAATAAGTCGGTGCTTTTGTCTATCAGTTATTTTTCCCAGCCCCAGTGATCACTCTCGTCTAACTTTGTGACTATTACTGTGCACAGGAGACCGGTATACGTGCATATACAGGTAAAGTTGGTGCGGACGATGTGGACCGAATTGATATGGCTTATCGGGTCCTTGCCGATCATGCCCGAGTACTGACCGTGGCTCTGAGCGATGGTGGACGTCCACAGAATACCGGTCGAGGATATGTGTTGCGTCGTATTCTACGGCGTGCTGTTCGATATTCTGCCGAAGTGTTGAATGCCAAACCGGGATTTTTCGCCTCTCTGGTTGACGTAGTTGTGGAGATTCTGAAAGACACTTTTCCCGAAGTGACAAGCAATGTTCCCGTGGTAAGTGAGTAGTCCGTTATCGTTTTCCACGCATCTTCGGTTTTGTCAATTGAATTCGCTTTTACGCACACTTCAACGATGTTTTATTAGCAGTAGTCGTAGTTGTTCGTCCTAATGACATCTGCCGACAGCTTATTTGCCTTCCTGATTTGAATGACATCAGTTCCGTTGTTGTGCTTGATCCAACTCAGTGAGCAATGACTGTCTGAAAAGGACAAATGGTGAAAGTCTGAATTCGGCATCAATAGCCGTTGAACGCTTCAGCTACTCTCACTGTTCCATACCGATCTGTGAAATCCCAGGGATCAAATCCCATCACACGACTGCTTGATTCCATATCGTTTTCACACCGCAGCATACCCATTAGGATCTATATGTCTATCTCGTCCGAGTCTCCTGAGCTGTGATCAAAGGTCTCCATTATCGAGCAGTAAATCTTGATAATATGTTCTTTCCTTCCTCATATTGAACCGTATGTAAAATATCATGAAAAAGCAGAAACAACTTGAGCTTGATTGCTCTGCTGTCTTAGCAAATTGAGTTTATTTTGTCGAACCAAGCTCGATATTCTGATCTGTCCCGAACCAATCTGGTTGTGTTGAATCAACAATATCAAACGCACCCGCACGAACATGACTCACCAAAGGCATCTATCCTGACTGATAGTCTCTTGAGGTTGAGTACTCCCCTACTGACCCCATTGCCACTGTTGCTATACGTCAGTTCTAGATTCAGTAAAACGAATTTGGAAGATAATCATTATCATATCTGGTGTTTTGGTTCATTCATTCCTGCTCCGTTTGGGTTGCAATCAGGGTTTACTGTCTCTACTCATCGAATCGAATTCACTGTTATGATCATCCTTGTTTTTCCTCTCAGATTAAGCAACTGATTAACGAGGAAGAGCAACAATTTTTACTCACCCTGAAACGTGGCCAACGTTTATTGTCACGTGAAATCGCCGCACTTCGCAAACAGACGGGCAAAAATGACGTACTCCCGGGCAGTGTGGCTTGGCGTTTGTATGATACGTACGGTTTCCCGTTGGATCTGACGCAACTCATAGCGGAAGAGCACGGACTTCGGGTAGGTCTCTTCCTCAAACCCACATCACATGGACTTGATGCGTGCTTGTCACAAACATGTTCAGTCGTTTGCTTACGGAGACTGGATATTTATGCGGTTGAAACGTCGTGATTCATCCTACTCAGTGGTTGCGATCACTTTTATCCTCACTGATTTCAAGTTCGTTGGTTTCAGGTAACGCTTGTTTTCGATTTTGTTAAGCACTCTAGAGTTTCTTTCCACAAAATGAGCGAATTCAGGCTTCCTCTCTTCAAGTTTAGTCTTTTTTTCTATTCGGAATGCTCACCAGTTTGTCACCCATAATTTTTCACAGTGTGCCTTTGGTGTATGTTTGCTGCGGATTCCGGTGCCGCTTATGGTGCCAGCTGGCTTCTCAGTTAACTCAGACATCTCGAAATTAATGCAAATCATAACCTACCTATCATTTTCGTTCCCATTGAACGATTCTCACGAGCGGTTATTATGTGGTCACCAACACCGTTTCTTCTTCGATAATCTTTTAACTTTAATCTTTCAACGCTGATCGACTTCATTGGACAAACAGGGAATCATTTTTGTTTCATGAAGCAACTCCTAAACTCTCCCCGATGTCTGACATCGGATGCCCCTGGAGAACTGTCCACATCGAAGAGTTCTCTTGTACTTATGTTGTAGAGGTCGATATCCCCCAGTAACCACACCTTTCCTGCCCTA